GAAATAATGCATGCAAACGTTTAGTTATCAATTTAAGTTTCCCATTTGTTTCTGGCTGCTCTCCAAGTCTCTCGGCCAAATTATGCACCTATCTCGTGCCGATTATGCTTCGCACGCTGTCTCTGTGACAAGTTTCCGCCCCATTCAAGCGGGCCTGGATTTCAAGGGTTAAGGCCAAAGTTATTGCCCGTTTTGAGGCCTACGCGTGCATACCAAGTGAGAGGGAGGCCGTGCAAAAATACGCTGTCAGAATTGATCCCGCTTGACACGCAAATACGAATTTTATAACACACACATTTTATCCAATCGATGGAGCAAATAGCCTGAAAAAGAAGAATAAAGCGCGCCCGATTCTCTCTGCGCAAAGTGCGTGTATGTTTAAAAATCAATGTTCTCGTCTGAAATCTGTTGGGGCACGAAAGGCATACAGGTAATAAACGGGTCGGTGTTGTTTACGCTGCAGGTATAGGCACCGCACAATGGAATGAGCCGGCGTGTGTGTGTAGGTAGCTCATCTAATGCTCATCTGGGCAGAGCTGCAATTTACACTGGCGCTGCTCTTTCGCCGCCGCCGGCCTGGCTGGCTGGCTTTGCTCCTCGATATCATATCGCAGTAGTGCTCGCACACTCTCGGTCCAACCTGCTCAACACAATATCACAGAGGACGCACAAAAGCGTCGCCTGCACATCTGGTGGGCCGCGGGTCAGCCTTCGGGAAAGGCACGACGAGCGTACGTGTTTCTCGCTCGCGCTTCCAGGCACAAGAAAAAAACACAAAGCTGTTATTTTTGCACGGATGAAAAAGAGCACACGAGGGACTGAAGGGCACTTTTTTGTGCCTATCTTTGTGATTTTTGACATTTCTAACTTACTTATATTGTGCAGGGAGAGAGAGAAATAAAGATTTTATTTTTCTTATTTGGTAATTTTTTTAGCAATAAATATGTAGTTTTATTATTAATTTGATTAAAATTTATAATAATAAATATAGCATGCTCCCAATTGAATGCAAAAATTAAAAGAAAAATGGGATGATGTTCTTCAAAAGTAAAGCAAATTGATTATTTATTCGTTAATCACAGCACAGCAAAACAACTCATATTTTATATAATATCAATAAATCTATAATTATTTAAAAACAACTGAATAATTAAATTTTAATTTAATTCATCAAAAAACGATACACGTATAAAATATCTTTTTAAGTTCCCAGAACAACGTATTTTTTTTAATTTGTGCACACCGTGTGACGCTTCCTGGGTGTGCGGTTGCAAAATTACACGGGACAGGCAGGAGAGAAGCGTCATTTCGTGCAGCAGCAGCAGTGGCGGTGGCGGCGGCGGGCTTAAAGGGTTGTACCCCGCCGATACACCCTTGGGGCGAGCCACTATTTCGTGATCTGAAAGTCAATGCAGTCGGTGTGGTTTCCGCCCAGGCTGCCCTCCGCACTTTCGGACCGGCTGTGTCTTGGAAAAAAGGAAAGTGCGGTCGGTTGGTGAATCCGCCGTGGACCGGCCAGGCAAAAGCAGACTTGTAATATTTTATTTGCTCTCAAGTGCAACTATTGAGTTAAAAACTCCTCTGCGGTTCGCCGACGGATCGCTCTTTCTTTCCCTTTGCTGCTCGCGTGCATGGGATAAAAATAATTTGCTACCGCACAGCACGATATCATCCACCCTTTGTGCCAGCGGAAAGTTGCAGCTTTTATGCAGATTGTGGTTTGCTGTTGCGAATAAATTTTATTAAACGGCCAGTGGCGCTAAAGAGCAGAACAAATTGCACTCGACAAAGCGAATTAAAAAACAGCTAGTTTGTTTTCAATTTGCCCTCTTCTCTGTTGCAACTCTTTTTTCTCGCCACAAACACTATACCGTGTGTGTAATAAAGTTTACTCTCCATATTTTATTCAAACGTCACTGATGTGAGTGGCGCAGATCCGTCCGCTGAGTGGAATTGCACCTTAAAGCTTCCCCAGACTCCGCCGAGCTGCAAATCCGCAATACAATATTCTCGGGCGCGTGGAATTTATTTATTCATACATTCAGCTGCTCTGCTCTGGAAATCTGATATTGCACACATATTTGTCGCCGGAATAAGGAGACCTTTTCCTCCTTCTTGATTTCCCCCTTTCAAAATTATTCACGCTGGAAGAGCATATGCGGCGATGATGACGAAACTTACTCCTTTTTGCGCCCCAATCCGATTTCAATATTGCTGCGAGGGACCCGATCCGAATCTGGCGGAATACCAGCGGCATTCCGTCGCCCAAACACGCTCGCGCACCGTAATCAAAATAGTATTCCCGTCATAATTTATTAGGTGTTCCCTGTGCCATTTTTTTTCTCCTCGGGCGCGGCGTAGGCGGCTGCCGACGTGACGCTGCGGCCGCCAGAATTTGAGCGAGGGTTGCGTTTATAAAAAATTCTTCGTCGCCATTTGTCATCGGTGAAATGGGTGAAAACTCTCGCACTTTCATATCGCTGGTATTAAACTGGATTAAACCCTCAGCGATTATATTTAACGACGTCAAAAGCTATGAACATACTTCCAATAAAAATATTTCTTCTGCCATATTTCTCCACTCTTGTATTGAGAGACAAAAATAAGTAGTACACTTTAATCTCATTTAATCTGAAACCTCTGAAATCAGCTAAAGACAAATATGAGCCAATAATAAAAATATTAAATAATTTTTTTTAGTTCTGTAAATTTTTCTTGATAGACGCTTCTAATTTCTATAGAACTACATTAATAATTAATAATATTTTTCCTTATTATTATTTAAATAAATTGCTTCCTTATGTGCCACATTTGAGCTACTGAAAAATTTCGTGTATCAAAATTCCTTACAATTCTTTAAGACGCTCACTAGAAGTGTTTACTTCAGATCGAGCATATTTAATGAAGCTGTTATTTGTGGACAAATTATTTCGTCTTAAATAATTAACAAGCTTTCCTGAGAAGCGCCTCTTGTTCTGTTGACTATTTTCACCAAAACTAATCAGGTTGAATTGCTTGTCAAGAGCAATTTCACTCGAGTTACAATTACAACAAAATCCAATATTCACACATCCACTCAGGAATGGAGTGATTTCGTGGCTTTGAGTGAGCCATATGAAAACCCATGTGGAAATCATTACACCGCAGACGCAGATTATTATTGCTTTCCAATCATGCAGGAAAATTAAATGAAATCCGCATCTGTCAACGTCACGAATGTATTTATGATCATTGCGTGTGTGTGTGGTGTGCACTGCTACCAGACCAATTTGATGGATATAGGAGAGGGTTTTTGGTTAGTGGGCCGGTCGATGGCTAGTTTTCCGAGCAAAATCACCCGCAGCCGCAATAGTTAGTCGGTTTGAGTGGAATTTATGCAGTCGCTGACAGAGACAATAACAGCCACACGCGGTGATTTTGGTGTCACGCACTCTCAATATATACGGTGACCACAGGGAGAACTTTAAATTCTACGCCAGCGATCGAACGCCCGAGTTTATTGCTCCCTGTGTTTGTTTTCATGCCCTAAAGCAAGTGGCGTGATCGCCCCGAGTTAAAGAATGTTATTTGCATGCAGGAAATAAAAGCAGAAAACTGAAAGACAATAAACTGCAAGACTGATAGCTTGTGGATAATTCAATAAAAGGCTCCGGGATAAAATAATATTACGGAATTTGAGCAAGTTATAAAAGTCTGAAAATAGAAACCGATTCTTGACGTCACTTCGCTTTTGATCCCCTTTTGCAAATTAATGAAGAGATAAGTTTACCGTGAGCTCTCAGTCTTTGACCAACTTTGATACTTAATTGAAAGTTTGGCTTACTTTGGCTGGGCGGGATTGCGCGTCTGCGACTGTCCCTGCCGTTTATACCGTTGGCAAGGCCTAGGATTAGGCCAGATATCATCATCCTCTTTCAAACAAAGTTGATGTTTTAATCAAAACTTCGACGCTACGGCACATTCCTTCTGCTGGCCAAAAAGAGAGTGGCTGCTTATCTCTGCTTCACAATCAGTCCCTGACACTTTTTCGCCAAAACTTTCCTCGGCACACAACTTCCTGTGTATCGATCCCTCCACCTTTGCCGAGAGTTTGTGTGCCACACGTTCACCACAGCGGTTATACTAAAACGGCCGGGTTAAAGAAAACTCGGTGGTGATACTCAAAGTTGTTCAAGTATAATACAATCTTGGTTAAATAAAAATTTTTTAACTATTGCTGCGTAAATAGATTAAATTTTATATTTTATAGTAGCACAGTATACAAATTTTGAGTGTATCAAAAATAAAAATTAAATTAAAATTAATAACCGTTTTTAAATTCTTTGCGATTATTATGACAAGTATAAAGACCCAATTTTAAAGTATTTATTTAATATTTTTAAATTAAACTTTTAATTATAATTTTTTTATTTTAAATGAATCAAAATAATTAATAATTACTTGTAAATCAATTAAAACTTCTCACAAATGCTGCAATACGAAAACAAATATATTCCACACAGTGATCCTCCATGTATTTAGATTTTATTTAGTAATAGGGATGATGCTTTTACACGTGGTAGGAAATAGTTAATTATTTAGCATATTTGTAACAATAATTTGAGAAACATTTTACCATGACTTGTCATCATCTTTTTTGTATCAATATTAATAATTAATTACAATAAATTCACAAAAACTTAAAGCAACAATAATGAATTTAAATTAATAAAATTTAATGCGTAAAAATTATGATACATAAATTTAAAAACCATTTTAATTTTGAAAATATCTTAAAATATCATAAAAAAATTTTCTGTTTTCATTTCAAATTAAGAGGACCAGTCGCCCAAATGTGAGCTATTTTAAATTGCTTTTACACCAAACCTCCAATTCACTCGATTTGAAAACCAGGCACACATTTTCTTTTGCTTGGTTCTGCCGAGATCAAACAAACTCTTGAGGCAACTATCTCAAATTGCAAATGAGCATCTAATTCACACGGCATCGGCTTGTTGCAGGGCGTTTGATGTGGGCATGGCGATCGGAGCGGCGGCGAGGAGAGGCCGTCTCGACACTTGTGGCCGCCGGAGTGAAGTGCAGCCCCTTTTGAGCCGTTGACCGACCATCTCTCGAGCGACCAGCGAGGCATGAGTTCGCAACAGCCACCGCCGCCGCCGCAGTGTTTGCCCACGGACAGATGACCCAGACCGGGCCTAGTCATGCACGTCTGCTTCTGGCTGTTGACCATCAGCGTGCTGGGCGCCGCCGCCCCGGCCTCCCCACCTGTTCAGTACAGCGCCCGCGTGGTCAAAACCAAGTGAGTACAAACAGCCCCTTTACGGACGGCTGACCCCTTCGGTGATCTGTGTGTAGGCTGACATCCCTTAATGCTTAATTAAATACCCTGATGGATTTCTAGACGCAATGATCGAATAGGCCAGAGTGTGTGGTTAAGCCGGGGGGTCAATAATATCATTGCATGGAGACTATAACTTATGATTAATTCAAGATGGTAATTATAGCTCAATTTACACAACATTATAGAGGATTTCAAAAAATTTATGAGGAGCTCCAAATCATCTAATATTTTAATTAACTGAGCTTATAATTATATTTTTATTATTTTGAGTAAAAGAAGTTACTCAAAGAAATTAATTCCTTTTTCACTTTGAAGAAACTGTTCTTTAAAATGAAAAACCTCTGCTCCAGCTTGTACACGGTCAGTGATGAGCAAAAAATTTAAAATAAGATACTTTTGGAAAGAAATTTTATTTAAGAAAGTTTTATTACAAAAAACCAATTTTTCTTCTTTTTCAAATTAATGGTGACTTTTGAATAAATCAGATGAAAATAAAACAATTTAATAACGAGCGTTAATTTAAAAACAATAATCTTTTTTCCATATTGCTTGATGTGGCTCATGAACTCGGGTTGTAGATTGTGACTAAAACTGTTTAAAATGTTTTTTCTCAAAATTACAAAAAGTAAACTCTAATAAAATTAATATTTTTTTTTTATAATTATGTTAGATTTTTTGAAGTTAGTTATATTATGGTAATCGTATAATTAAATCTGACTGGAAAAGATCCAAAAGAAAAATATTTTCTCAAATAAAAATAGCTCACACGTGTCAATCCTGGAAGCGAACGTTCCCATATCGACAGAGGCTCTCGATGCTCCCACTCGATCCATATTTACACCTCTCGTCCTGACACATTGGAAATTTCCCCAAGCACCTTGATTTATTCATTGCGAAGGCTCAAGTGAAAGATGCCTACACGTACTCACTCTCCGCCGCTGCGTATCCAAAGGCGTCGCAATTTCATTCTGTCGTTGGTGCTTTTCTTCTTTATTTTTTGCGGCGCTTGACGTTCGGTGTCACTCTCGGCGCGCGCGGTATAACTTGCCAGGCAAACACCGAGAAATTGATAATATGACACTTGACGAAGTGTGTGCGACGCAGCCATATTATTGGTCGCCCCCAGCACCGGCAGCCGCCACCAGGAAATATTTATTTCTCTCCGCCACGCTGTTTGATGGCAATCTGAAAGAAAAGCAACAACCAACGTGCGGGCCGAGATAAATCGTTTCTGGCGCACCACACACGTGGTAGAAATATAATGCAGGGTGAGACTCTGGAGGTTTGAATTCTGTTGGTGAAAAAAAAAACACCAGTCAGATTTTTAATCCATGGAACGTCTCCATTGATCTGGGGATAGGGGATAATTTTGACTTTCCATGGAAATGATGATTTAGTTTCAAATCAAGTTTATTAATGCATCACCAGGCATTCTCTGCCCAAATACATCATCCATACATTTAATATTATAAATTACATTGATTACAAGAGAGAGAATTTGGAATTTACATTAAAAAATACAGAAATTTAACGTAAGAAAAATATTAATTATTAACAAACCATTACAATTTTTATCCTTTCAACCCAAAAATTTGAGCATTTTTTAAACGATATTTAGCAGAATATTGATAAAGTTGATACAACAAATTTTATACTTTATAAAATTGTACTATCTGATATGATTGGATTTTAGAGCTAAATATTATAAAAAATAATAATTCATTAAAATATAGCAATGCTATAATAGTAATATTAAAATTAGCAAATTTAAATTATATTTAAAAAATTGTAAAAAAAAATAAGTTAAATTGCTTGTATCATTTATAAAATGATTTTGATATACATTTACATAAAATTCACTATTTACAATTAAATTTTGTTTACATAAATAAATTTGAAAAAAAGTAATCACATTAAAGCAGTGCAATACGTCTGTCTCTTGATTCTGACAACGCAGAACAAACGTCGGTTGCATCAGTTCCAGTGCATTAAGCGGCACAACAAGATGCGCAATTGCACAAACAGCTCTTTTCGCAATTTGCAATCGAAGTAATGGCCTCTCGCTGCGAGTTTGTTCCGTTGCATTGCGCGCTTATCAAATTAAAGCGGAGGAAACAAACGATTCCGACGCCGTTTGCCCAGACCTGTGTGTATAAATTCGCGAGCAGTGGTCGCGCTCAAGAGCTACTGTGGATATAAGCTGTTTACTCTTTTATTGTCTCGCGCCGTTACAAGTGCACCCAATGACCCATATAGGATTTAGAAACTGCAGCGTGTCTAGGGCGAGCGGAGCAGAAGTGCCACTTATGTGAGTTTCCACGGCTCTGGTGCTCGAGCAGTTTGCGGGCGTGATGGCGAGCCGGACGTGAATTGCATTCCCAAATCCTCATCGACGCGCTCTGCAGCGACTAGGGGGCCCCAAAGCGTCGCACATTCTCATTTCGCAGCTGAAATATTAATTTTGATGTCACATAAAGTGCTGCGAATGGCTCGGGAATTGTTTTCCTTCCGGCGAACGCTGCATTTTGGGTGAAATATGTATTAACCTGGGAGTCGACATTTCTAAAATTAAAAAGTTTGCCCTTCTCTGCCTTTGCTATTATTTTCTTATTTTTGTAAATAGATATTCCAAAGCATCACGTAAATGTTTAGTATTTTGAAACCTATAACAAACTATTTTAAAAATCAAATTAAAGTAAGCAAATTCTATTACAATAAAAATTTAAAGATAAACTTGATTGTCAAAATATCCTGTTGTATATTTTTATTTTCATTGCATTGCAGCAAATTATCAAATGGAAATTTTTCCAGTTTTTGTTTTCATGTCTATATTTTTATTTACTTTTTCTCCTCTTTTTTGGCAGGAACTTTATATTTCAGCAAACACTTTTGTCAAACGGGAAATGTTTTTGAAAAATCTTTTTATTTCTCCTGAACAGATTTTTGTTTCGGAAGTGGCTTTGCAGATTTAGAGAGCAAATCTTGTATCTCAGGAATGTCACCAACCTGAATCCTTCCCTCCACCAAATTCCAGACTAAAAAAAGATCCCCCTGGTGGAATTCCAGTGGTGTATCCGTCAGTGTGCTGGAAGAAAGGATAACTTGATCTCTAAAAAAAATTGGATCGAAAAATGTGAAACATCTACAAATTGCATTATTTACGACCTCTCCAGCGACTCTGGGCTGGATTATGTGTGCTCTGAAAAGCATCAAGGGAGCCCCTTTATACATGATTAATGGCATATTTCATAAATTTCAACGCGGCTCTCCTTCTCTCTTATCGCTGCGTTTGAAAAAGCAGCGAATTTTGTTCCGTTCAAACGTGACTTTCATACACGACCTAATGAATACGACGAAGGACTCTCGTCCGGCCTGCTGGGCAAATAAATACACAGAGCAGATTAGCCGTCGGGTGAGAGCGCAGTCGATCCATATTAATGCGTTGTTTATCTCAGCGCCGTGTCCGCTTCCGAGGGAAAAAATCAGCCCGATAGATGAATTAAAAGGAGGAAATGTCGTGGGGTGCCGGTGATGTATGGCGGGTTGCATATTATTCGAAATCAATACGGCCAGAGCTAGCTCGCGGCTGGAATCAATGCCTCGCGTCGTCGTCGCTCTCTCTGACCACAAAAAAGTATTTATCGTGACTGCCTGCCGTCGACGACGACAGAGGCTGAATGGCGGCCCACCAAGGCAGCAAAAAGCAAGCGACCCAATCTGCTCTTCTGATTGAATAATCCTTTCAGTTGTATTACTGGATTTTCTTTTCGCATGCCGCGCTTCCGCTTTCTTTGAAAATGTTATTCTTGTTCCATTCTTTGGAACCCTAATATTACTTTTATCTTTATTGTACCCTGGTAAAAAAAAATTAAAATGATTTAGAAATTCTTCAGAACTACATAATTCAATAAATTAAGCTTCATTTTGACTACTTTTAAAGAGTGTAAAATTTAGACTAACGTCAAATTATATTTTTCAACTGCGAAAACCAATAGAATGATTTAGGACAAGGTTTTACGAAAACAATTATGATAATTTTCAATAATAATAAATAATTTACTTTCAATAAAATTCTACAACTTTTCAAAAAGTGTTTGATAAAATAATGTAGTTGAAAGACAAACTGTTTTTAAATATTATTTTTAAAGTATGTAAATGTTACTAAAAAGTTTTTTATTGATTTTAAATTGCAAATAAATTTTAAATTTTAACACTTTTATGGTAAAATAAAAAAATTATAAAAAATCTTTTTAATTTTCTAAAATGTCCATTCAAATCTCATGCCAATAATTTTTAAAAATATTGTTAAATGAGCAATGATGATAAAATAGATGATCAATTAATTTTAAAATTAAACTAATTCTTAAAACCGTAATTTATTATTAAAATAATAATTTTTCTGGGAACTTGTGATTTCACATTGAATAATGAATGAATTTCGAGGATTATTTTCATTTTTCAACTACTTTTTATTTGTTCTTGACGATGAGAAATAATAATAATTTTATGGTTATCGCATACATGGTGAACAAAAAACGGGATTTTCAGCAGACTGCCGCTCTCGGCTGGTTGGTCATTGGAGAGGTTTCATAATGTGTGTCTAGAGCGGCATGGGCCGTACTACAGCACGTTGGCGAGAATAAAAATCCGTGCCACGTTATTAAAGCCCTGCTAAACAGCGAACGTTTTATGCATTTATTACAGTAGCCGCGGGTGTGTTTATCTTGAATATTACAAGCGGCCGGCATAATGGGCCTTTCATAATACAGAAAATTTGTTATCACATTATTAAAAAGTGCTGTTCAGTGCATGCGCCTGGGAAAACGTAAAAGAGTAAAGAGAGCTTCCTGTCTCGTACGTCAATTTTAATAGAGGCACGGAAATTTTGATTAGCAAAAAATTGCAAAGAAAAAGTAAAATTTTCTTTATAAACTGTAATGTTGAAGATAAAAAATTCC